TATGGCAGTGCTTAGGAACCCCAAATCTGGACCAGAATCCCTCATTGTGCTAGGCACTGTTCAACCAGAACAAAAAGACTGTTCTTGCCTCAGAGAGCTTGTTGGGTCAATCAGCACTGGAGTTACACTAACTATGGCCTAGTCTTCACTTACCGGCTGGTCCGGAGGCACGCAATCGATGTTCTGTGATCGATTTATCGCGTCTGGTTAAGACGCGATAAATCGATCCCGGATCGATCCCGGAAGTGCCCACAATCGGCGCCGGTACTCCAGCTCTCCGAGAGGAGTACGCAGCGTCGACGGGGGGAGACTTCCGGCCGCGTCTGGACCCCGGTAAGTCCGGACTAAGGTACTTCGAATTCAGCTACGTTATTAACGTAGCTGAATTTGCGTACCTTAGTCCGAAGTCCGGAGTTGCCCTCCCTAACCTTACTCCATGCTAGGGAAAGAGGGAGCAAGTTGGAGGCAAGGCATAATGAGGAAGGAGAGTGGATGTGGCAGAGTGGACCTTTCCTGTGGCCAGATTGTTCACCGGTGTAAATTAGAGCTGTCCTTGTGCAGCCTTTACCCAGGGAGCCCCAAATGGCTCCCTGTGGCCCCTTCCTCTCTCCCCAACTCCAAAGCAGCACAACACATAAGGAGGTGTAGTTGGAGAGGACCAGGAGGTGAAGATCTGGCCTATTACTCTGTACCCAATACTTTTCAATCCTGTATGTTTAAGTATTTATAACGTGCATGAATCAATTTAGTGATTTCTAGCATTTGTGAGCTACCAGTATTTTCAGCTATATCACTGCAAACTGAGAACAAACAATTGGTGAACTGGAAAGCACAGGGGTTTGTGGGGTTCAAAATTATTAGCAATAGCTACAGAGCTATTTGATGATCATAAATCACTTACTTTGCATTTGGAATTATAATGTTCATCTGATCCTACACCCCATCTCTCCTTAAGCATTTTTCATCATTAAGATCACAAATTGGAGCTGTTATTTCAATTACAAGAGGCTCTAAAGCAGGGGTTCTCACAATAATTTTTTTGGTGGCCTCAGAGTGCGGCCACCAATTCTTGCTGGTGGCCGTGCTGACAATTTTTCCTAAAATATTTAATTAACTTTAGGAAAAACAAACAAATATGCACATATTCATGTCCAAATCATTGTATTTTATTTATGTAGGGGTTTTTTTTTCAGACTCAGTAATAAAAATAATTTACAGTTGTCTGTATTCTTTACTGGACCTAAACAGAAGAGAAACACAAATAAGGCGCTTTGCGTGTTCTTGTCTTTTTGTTGTTGTTGTTTCTTTTGCTTTTTTGGTTGTGCTGGTAAGTCTTCTGCTGTGAAAAGTGATATTTGTATGTTTGTTAATATCACTTTTCACAACAGACTTACTCAGCCCCTACAAGCCCTGGGACAAATTAAGCCCTGGATGGGGAGGTGGGCAGGGAGGCAGTGGGGCCCAGGGACAATGGTGAGGGGGGTGGTGAGTCTGGTTCTGGAGACTGGAACCAGAGCCTGCCACCGCGTGCATGGAGCATGAAGCCCCGTGGCCAAAGCCTGCCTCCCTTACCCCCTGGGAAAGTGGGGAATTCACCAGCTGTCAGCACCTCCAGCATTTGGGTCTCTGAGGGTTGGGGGGGCAGGGCCCAACCCCTGCAAGGGGCCACTGCTTTGTGCGCCCCCCCCCCCCCCAAATCACAGCACAGGAGGCTGTGGCTGCAAGAAAAGGCCGTAGTGGCTGCATTTGAAAAACAGTGCTCTAAAGAATACTCTGTATCACCGAGACCTTGTTTTAATGCCAGTCTTATGGAGCCCCACACACCACGTTACTTGACCACTGTGCTATTTTTTCTATCACAGAACAAGGTGATGAAGAGCAAGGATGCTGTAAGAAGGCCTACAACTGGTTCTGTGGCTTAAATCAGAAAAAAGGTCCCAAATTGAGCAAAGAGGAGCAGGAAGCGATAGAGAAGAAACTGACTGACACTTCCGAGAAGCCAATCTGGAGAAATGTTGTGAACATAAACGGCGTCATTCTACTGACCGTGGCTGTATTCTGTCATGCCTTCTTTGCATAAATCTCATCTCACACTCCAGAGTTTACATGAAGGTCTAACTCTAGTCCCTTTTCCTTTTGAAATTGCACTGTATTCTTCAAAAGAAATGATGTTTTCTAAATTATACAGTTAGATATACTTATGAGATTTGTACAAGGAGATTGTATGAATACGTTGATTTATTCATTGGTTATATAGTGGTAATTAAACATCTTTTGACTAAAGAGCAGGAGTACTAAAGTCCAAAGGGTAGAATTTCAATCCAGTACATCAGGGAGAATTTAGTAAATCTCTCTTCTTACGAAATACATTTCACAGCTCAATTTCAGAATATGAGAACCAGGGCTGGATGAGCTGCATGGAGTTCATGATTTTGTGAACTATTTTGGGGGACTGGTGGGAAAATGGCACAGAAATTTTCAAGGTGATTTTTTGTTTAAGTTCAGCTATATGAAGGGCTGTGCTATGGATTTAGGATAAATTAATTCCCTCAAAATGAAGGCAGCCTTAGGTGAGTTCCCCTGGATGACATTTTATTGATGTATTCCTTTGATACTATAGCTATTTTTAATAGCCCTTTTCTCTTTCCATTCTCTGTTCCATACATTACACTGTTTTTAGTGGATTTTTTCTTCTCTCCTCTTTTATCACTCTTTCTTCTAAGTGGAATATGAACCCCAGTACCATCTGAATTTAACTTGTGTTATTTGAGTGGGTCTGAAATTAGGCAAACTAAGTCTGACCAGCCCTAATAAGAGTTGTGGTTATGCCTGACTCTTCAAGATTAGCTTTAAAGGTTCCAATGCAATCTGAGCATTTAATATGAATCTGTTTGAATGTGAAAGCTTTATTTATAAAAATATATTCATGGTCGTTTTGATTCCCTAGCATGATGTGTCAAAATTAGACTCCATTTATTTTATTGTGGTCCTCCATTTTATAAGGAAGGCACTAGTGTTCTCTTAGTTCCCCATCTTAATTAGTGGATTTACTACCTGGTAATTCTGGCTTTGTGTCTTGCTTCCAAGTACACTAAGACATTACAGTATTTTTCCTGCCAAATTATGAATCTTCCTTCTCTGACAATTTCATTCATGCCATGAAGTAAGACTGTTACACTATAGTTTCCCCAAGGAAAACAGTCACTGCTCTGACATCATCTAAACCATTCCAATTGTCTTCATCTTGTTTGGGAGCGTGAAATCAGGCTGAGACCTTGATGAGGCAATGACAGGGTTGCCAACCCTCCAGGTTTGGCTTGGAGTCTTCCAGAATTGGCATCAATCTCCCGGTGACTACTAGAAGGAATCAGGAGATTTTAATAGGATATTTTAAGAAAATGACATTGTCATGTTGGGAAAAAAATATCTCCCAGAATAGCTTCAGTCAGAGTTGGCAACTCTAGGCAATGACCATAGCTTGGGTCTCAGAGACTAATAAGAAGCAATGGAGAGATGATGTGTGATACTTCAGTTCCAGGCTGAAAAGTGAAACCAGAACTTTTTACCACCTAATTCATCTTCCCAAGGAGGCATAGATACAGAGAAGGCACATCGGAAATTCCCAGTTGCTGCAGCTAATCTGTATTACAATCCTTTTTGCCTTGTGTACCACAGCTTCCTGCAATGTCTCAATTCAGTGCAACATGCATCTCATCTTCCTGCAGTATTCTACAGCACACTGCACTGTGCTGCAACATGTAACAAGCAAACCAATACAGTCTTTCTGAAGCATGCTGCACTCCTGCAAATCCCTATTACTTTCATGATACACTGTCTTCTGACAGCGTATTCAGATGAGTCCATAGCAAAATGTGCTGTCTTCTTACTGCATCTAGCTGCACTAGGATCTTCAGTATAATGTTCTATTTCCCTGCAGTATCCTGACATGTACTGCATAGTGCCAAATCATCAATACAGTCTGAATCCTAATGCCAATGGTCTTACAATAAATAAAGATGCTCCCTGCTGCTCAACAGTCATCACTGTATTATGTTATGGAATTCATTATATTTCATTAACTATGAAGGTTGTATGTATGTATTAAAAATTTTCTAATTGTGTTTGGGGACCAGAAAGTAAAGAGTTCTTTGTATAACATGATAGAAAATGTAAAATATAAAAAAAGTTTCTTGATCAAATGCTGAAATCAAATGTCTTCAATCTTGATCATTTGCATATCTGAGAAATGGCTGTACTTTGCTCCGGGTCTACAGCTGTTCTTCTGATGGCTCTGGGTTGCTGTAGCAGATGAGAAACTGGTAAATGAGCCCTTCTTGTGGATGATGCAGCTCCTTCTTAGCTACAGTTTGTAACTAAACTGAAAACACTGAAATGATGAGACCATTTGTATAAAAGCAAAAATAACACACATGATTTCCCCAACCAGCTGAGAAGCCTATACCATGGCATGACCCCCTTGTTGGATACTCTTTGTAGTCAGGCTCGTTGCTGCTTGTTTGCTCCATTTCTCCATGCAGGCTGAATAATAAAGCTTTTTGAAATCACAGACTGGGAAGTGCAGAGAGAGACATTTGAAAACTAGAGCTGGTAGAGTCCAGGGTTCACAACCACAGAAAAAGCTGACTGCTCCTTAAGGCAAGTTGTCTTGCTCTGTAGGATTTCTATTGAAAGCTGCCTGTGAAATTGCAGTACTGTATGGCTCAGTGGATTGGTGCTGGGACACGGAGCCTTTCACCTCTAGGTCACCAGTTCAGCTCCATTGTCAGTTGGTAAGTGTTACTATCTGATGTCAGTTTTATGAATTGAGTTGGTGATTTCAGTCCAATTTCTAGTAGACTACTATCTGCATCCCATAGGTGCTATTAAACTGCGGCATATCAATAGACAAAGCCAAGGACTAATGTGCACAGAAATTGAACATCCCTGTTCCTGTAGCGATGGGGGTGGCAGATTCTGGTCTCACATCATTGTAAATCTGGAATTTCTGAGGTCAGTGGAGTTACTTAAAAAAAAAAAAAACTACATCTGGGCACCCTCATGACATGATATTATCAAATAGCAAGAGACTTTTTGGGACAGCTTAACATAGTCTGTCATGTTTTCATATCTAGATGTATCCATTTCCCATAAAATAGTTCTGCAAATCTACATTAATTTCTAGTGATATAAAAGAACCACTATGTAGTGAAAAATATGTAAATATCTGAGCCATAAGCAATATTGATTTAAAAAGAAAAAATGCTGTCAGGCAAGTCTGATCTTTCATTCATAGAATTACTAAGTTAGGGCAAATCCTGTGAGACAATAGATGTTTATTCACCTGTCTCTGTCAAGATGTAAATTAAGTATTATAAGCTAAAACAATGGACATACTAAGTCAATAGAGATGTGAAATCAACAGGTACGCAGCCCACTGAAAATAAATAAATAAAAAGCTCTGGGTGGTTATCCTGACTGAGTACAGGCAATGAACTTTGGGGATAGAAGTTCAAGCCAAAGAAGACACACATTTATCTTGCATCAAGCCCTGAATTCAAAGCAAAAGATACTGATGTCATGCTGTTTATTGCACAGCTGTGAGTGAGCTACAGACAAAAATCTTACTTGTTCTAGAGTCTGAAGTCAGCCTGCTCTTACTGAATAAGATTTAAAACATGACTTCCTGCCCAAAGTACAATTAAGAGAAATCCAATGGCTGAATATTTGTTTTCTTTTTCTTTATTACTGATCTCTTATTCCAGTTGATACTGGAAAGGAAGTAATATGGGGGCCAAATATCTCATTGCTGGCTACTCAAATTATAGCTATGTTCTACAGCTGCTACCTGACCATGGAACTACCACTTGAAAATGCTATAAATGGAACTGAACTTTGAGAAATCTGATATTTTTTCTATGAGTGCCTATTGGAAAAACAACAACCCACAGAGGATTATTTTGAGAGCTAAGTTTACCGCTATATCTCCTCTGTCCCTAATGGAGATGCACACTGTTTTCTTATTGGTCGCAAATGACAGTTTGTCAAATACTCACCTTTATTGATCTTCACTGTGTATTTATTTCTCAGTAATATGTGCTACGTCTAGTTTGGGAGTTTTTTCTGTTTGTGCATGTGCTTGAAACAGCTGCAGAATCAGGGTCACTTTGTGTACTATTAAATAAATATAAAACTTAAGGATGGTTTTAAAAAAGAAAATACCATGAATAAGCTTTAAAATGTAGTAAATTATTACTATCTTGTGACAGACTATTGGGTTGTGCTGAATGGCTGTAGTTGTTCCTTAGGGATAAGGATTTTGACTTCAGACATTTGTCTTCATTAGTAAATAAGGGGAAAAACATGAATTAGAATTTTTTTACAATGTTCTCCAAAATGTTTCCATAAATCAAAGTTGAAGGCTGGGTGCTTTACAAAGAATTAAATTTCTTTGCCTTATTTCCTACAATCTCTGTTCACAGATATTTTCCTCTGAAAGAGTTAGGGCTCATGTTTCTATAAAATCAGAGAATCATAGCACTAGAAGGGACGGCAAGCATCATCTAGTCTAATCCCCTGTCAAGATGCAGAGTTTGTTGGGTCTAAACCATCCAAAACAGATGGCTATCCAGCCTCCTTTTGGAAACCTCCAGTGAAGAAGCTTCCACCCCCTCCCTGGGCAGTTTATTCCATTGTCCTACTATTCTTACAGTTAGGAAGTTTTCCCTGAGATTTAATCTGCTATGCTATAATTTGAACCCATTGCCTCTTGTTCTGCCCTCTGTGGCAAGAGAACAACTTTTCTCCATCCTTTTTGTGGCAGCCTTTCAAGTATTTGAAGACCACTATTGTGTCCTCCCCCTTAATCTCCTCTTTTCCAAACTAAACATATCTAATTCCTTTAGTCTTCATTGCTCATATGGCTTGCATTCCATCCCTTTGGCTCACCTTTGTCGCTCGCCTCTAGATTCTTTCCAATTTCTCTACTTCCTTTCTATACGTTGGTGAGCAGAATTGGACGCAGTACTCCAGCTGAGGCCTAACAGCACCGCTCTACTTGGTGCTGGTCATCTCCCGTGACTTGGATGCTATGCCTCTGTTAAATAAACCAAATTGCATTTGGTTTTTTTTTGTAACAGAATTTTATTGTTGACTCATGTTAAGATTGTGAGCCACCACAACTCTCAGATCCTGCTCAGCAGTGCTGCTACCAAACCAGTTTCCCCCATTCGGTATTTGTACATGTGGTAGAACCTTACATTTGTCTTTGCTGAATTTCATTTTGTTGTCTATAGCCCAGTTCTCCAATTTATCAAGATCCCTTTGAATGTTAACTCTATCCTCCAAAGTGTTTGCAACACCCCCTAGCTTTGTGTCATCTGCAAATTTGATCAGTATATTCTCTCTTCAACATCCAGGTCATCAATAAAGATGTTAAATAATACTGGACCCAGAACATCCCCATGCACCCCCATTTGAGACCTCCCTCCAATCTGACATCATTCTATTAATAGCTACTCCTTGTTTGTGGTTGTTTAACCAATTATGTATCCACTTAATGGTAGTTTTACCAAGCCAGCATTTCTCCAGCTTACTTATCAGAATGCCATGTGGCTATCATGAAGCTTCTGATAAGTGAAAACTGCTATGTAATGTTAACTGTACAGCTAAAGCCAGCATATCTTTCAGAGCTCTAGGTTAGCCCCTACCTGATGCAGGATTTAATGCTTGTTACTATAGACTTGGCTACAGTGGTGAATGTTTGGGGGGAGGGATAGCTCAGTGGTTTGAGCATTGGCCTGCTAAACCAAGGGTTGCAAGTTCAATCCTTGAGGGGGCCACTTGGGGATCTGGGGCAAAATCAGTACTTGGTCCTGCTAGTGAAGGCAGGGGGCTGGACTCAATTATCTTTCAAGGTCCCTTCCAGTTCTAGGAGATGGGATATCTCCATTTATTATTATCTGGTATTTGACTCAATGACTGGGAGATCTAGATGCAATACAAAAAAATTTACTCAACATAGTAATTGATCTGCAGATGCATTCAGTTCAGAGAAACAGCTTTATCTTCCATTTTGTTCATGGGATACCCAATTTCAAGATACAGAAATAGAAAGGACATCCCTGTTAGCCTATTGATAGTATTAGCAGTACCATGTGGGACATCTAGCTTGAAAACCTCAAAATTGGTCTTTCGCTGTCAATACCTGACAGTGAGACTTGATCTCCAGCAAAGTTCCCATTGACTTTAATAGTGCAGGATCAGGGCCTAAATGTGAAATCCTGACTGGGATAAAAACTTCACCCTAACAGGGATCCCACCTTCTGAAGGCAGGCAGATACGACCTTCAGGAAAGGACATTCATGCAGTCTTTCCTTATCTTAAAATCAGTGCTATAAGAGCAGCAATATCGCTGAAAGTTATAAATATCAGAATCCAGTCATCTGTGTCTGATTCTATTCAGACTACTTCATGTGAGGAAAAATAATTAAAAATAAAAATAGAGATACTTGTATTCTTCTCTAAATATTCTGTCAAATTCTTCATGTGCTAAAAAACAAATTACAGGCTTTTCTAGATATACTAATCCAGAGCTAAAATTACTCGTTAAAAAGAGGATACTAGATAGAAAGTTGAATGAAATTAAACTATTGTAACTAACTTTTGCAATATAAACAAGACAAAGTGAGGGGATACCTCTGGTCTTTACACTGTTTTTATTCTTGTTCATGTACAATAAAGTCAGTGAAAATAAGTTTAAAAAAAAACCTACTGGATTTTACTACTACTTCTAACATTTCTATTTTATGAGAATTTACCTTGAAACTCAACATGTATGAATTCTGTATTCTTGAATTTTGATTTGTCTGAGAAACTTATTCCTCCCCAAAATGACAGTAAACAAGCAAGGATTCAACTTCGGTCAATGAATGGCAATGTAAAGATGAAGAAATACTTGGGCAAGTATAGACTTTGTCATACTGCATATTAGGTATACAACAAGAGAAAGATTTCAGTTACGTTTACTAATTAAACATTATCCCCTTAAGACTGACACCAAAATTCTTATTGACAATATGGGTAAAATTCTGGCTTGCCCTACACAGGGGCATTAGGGGGTTAAAGAGTCCAGTTGCATCATCCCAAATAGATGGCAATTTCAAACAGTTATTCACCCTGACTCTTACCCCACAAAATTACA